TTAGATTGAACGAAAGTGAAGATGGTGAAGTCAATACGGGTTAGGTCAAAGGATTATTGGGATGCAGACATCCCGGCCTACGGTGAATTTAATTCCAATTTTGCCATTTTAATTTCTACCCCTGTTTCTTTGTTTAATTATTTTTGGATAATGATGAACTCTTTGTGTTTGTATGTTTCGTTGTTTCTTTGTTTTTTTTTTTTTTTTTGTTGTCTGTGATCCATAGATGGGGAGAGTGAGTTGTTTACAGCAACTATGTGGCGTGGTGAAACATTTCAAAGGAAAGGTTTTGTGTGTTATAATGGAGGGTCTAAAATGATGTTTGATTTTGTCCATATGAGGTCATGAATAATTCCACATTAAAGAAGATGTCTGACAAATTTGGTGTTGTTGGTAGTAGGAATTACTTCTTATTGATTGGTTTGAGTTTCAAGCCACTGCTGGATGATGAAAACATTAATATAAGGGCCTTATGTCATAAATATGGTTGTAGAGAAATGACTCTATATGTTGAAAATGAAGGTACATTCAGTCTTTCTAGTTTGTCCACTGATGGAGGATGGATTGATTTTGATTTTGATTCTAAGAGTGGCAGTGAGTCTGAGAGTGGTGTTGTAACACAAATTGTTATTTTTATCGAGTATCGAATCGAAAGATTCGTTCCCCTAGTCGATCTCACGGGGAAGGCGGTTCGGAATTCAGCTTTAATATCGATCACACATAAAAAGAAAATAAATCCTAAACACAGTAGTCAAATAGGGGGTCTGAATAACTATCTACTAAGAAATAATAAAAGCATAATTCTACCTAAAAATATAAACGAAATAAAGATGGAGAAGCTAGGGAATCGGGGATAATTTATTCAAGCTCTTAGCGAAATTGGGCAATCAATTGTTCGGTTCGAGATTGACACTCTTGCTTAAACATCTAGCGGTTCGCTCCCAATAACTCTTCGTAACAAGGGATTGAACATAGATGAACAAGCTCGAGCATACAACACATGCCAATTATCCCAATCCCAATAACTTTTCGTAACAAAGGACAAGTCATCGACAAGCACGTATTTCAATCTCAACCCATAGATTATTCAGCTACGAAATTATTTATCTCGTGCAAGCCTAGTTCCACAACTTCTCCCCTTTCGGTTTAAAAAGTCGCTAATTCAATAAGAAGAGAATTAAATGACTAATCATATAGAATCAACAAAACCCTAACTCAACTAATCAACATTCAATTGTTTCCAATTGCAAGACCGCAGTGTCACACTACAATTATACCAATCAATCAAACAAGATTTCATCAATTCGTAATCAAATCAACCCACATAAGCATGAACAAACCAAGCCCGAAAAATACACGTTAAACAAGAACAATCATCCATTATCCCTAGCAATTGGAATTAGCTAAGCATATTCAATCAACATAATAAATCAATTCTCTCAATTCAACCATTATTCATGAATTAAACAAGAGCAAAGAAACTCACGATTAATGTGTTGAATGCGAAATACATGCTTAATCCCAAAAGCAAGAACAAATTCTAGATGAAAAATGAAAAAGAAAAGTGAAAGAGGAAGAAGAACAAAGAAGAAGAAGTGAGAAAGGAGAAAAGAGATGTCGTGGTGTTTTCTCAGACCTAGGGTTTTCACCCGGTCGAGAGGTTTCCCCTTCTGTAAAGTCCCGATGTTATATATATATATATATATATATATATATATATATATATACATACATATATATATATATGCGAGTAAGATTCACGACGTGGGGAAGCAACGCGGGCGCGGAAGAACCATGTGTCACGGCGCGGCACTACGCTGCGGCGTTAAGACCTGAGGTACCGCGGCGTGGTGGATGTGGCGCACTGTGAGAAATGGAGGTAACACGCCGTGATGGATCCCAGCGGCGTGGCATATGGTAGCATCGCGGCGCGAAGGTCCTCATCAGCGTGACACTGGATATGGGGCGCTCTGTTAATGCGTAATGGGTGTCGCGGATGGCGCCACGGCGTGGAGAAGAGCAGACTGCTGCGGCACGATGGGTGCCGCGGTGCAGGATCTAGAACCGCTATCTGAAGACCTCGTGGCAGGTGCCACGGCGCGACGCCAGCATGACAGTCTGGAAGCTCGGGCCTGAATGCTAGCTTCCGTGCACGATTTCACGTCTTGGGCTCGTCTACGTTCGTCTGGACTCGGAATTTGATTCTGTTTTCTCCTGCTCATCGCCAAATATACCCTCCATATCATTATTCTTGCATGGTCGATTTTTTTTCCTGAATTACGGTCCTCCCGAAACTTTTGACCTGCACACCAAAATAAAAAGGTAAACCGGATAAATACACGACTAATGAATTCTTGCTGAGGAAAATACACGAACAGGAGGATTGGCTATCTACGTACACTGCATGGTTGCAGTGAGGAGTGGACAGCGGGAAGTGAACGACAACACAAGTCGTCATGCACAAACATGAAAGGGAGGTCAAAAAATATACTTGATTTATTTTATTTTGTTCGATATAACTATGCATTTGATGAGGCTAATGAGAATGATCGATTATTATTCTATCTCGTGGTGTTTGGTGTGTTTTCTTGTCGAATTTAGCGGCAGGTCGAAGTGTTCGATCAGTTCAAAAGATAAAAATCCACCATGACTAAGGCCTCCGGGCTGGGTGGTCGCTAGACTTGTCAAAACGGTCCTGGGCCCGCGGGCCGGCCCGCCCCGCCCCACCAAATAGACGGGTTGGGTTGGCATTTTATAGGCCCGCGAAATGGCGGGCCTAAACGGGCTGGCCCGCACGGGCCGCGGGCTTTGGCGGGGCGGGGCAGGAGGGCCGCGGGCCAGCCCGCCATTAAATGAACCAAAAAAAAAATATATATATATATATTTGTATGTAATATTTATATAAATATTACTGTATAAGTTTAAGTTAGTATTTAGTAACTATTGAATGTTTTATGTTTTTTTAATCTATAATTTTTAATATATTTTTTTCATTAACTTTAACTACTAAATTAAAAAATAAAAACCAAAAGAACAAGTACAAAGAAGTAGAGAAGAACAGAACGGGGCCCCACATCATATTCTCATTTGTAAACCCTAGTCTCTCATCTCCTATCATATCGTCTCTCTAAACTTCCTGGCGGTGGTGACCTTGTACTGGCGACGAGACCTTCGACTGGTGGGACCTCGGCTCGAGTAGCGACTGGCAGCGGCGAGACCTTCAAGGGGCAGCACCACAGCAACATTGTCTCCGAGCAACGAGTGGCTAGACATTGTCTCCGAGCGGCGCCGGCAACGACGAGATAACTCCATTTCGGTAAAGGGTAACGATGGCTGAACTTGGACCTCTTTGATTCTTTGTTCTATCTATTCCATGGGGTGTATTTGTGTGTACTTTTCAGTGACTGTGAATATTGATTTTTTGAATTGAATTAGGTGACATTTAATTGAATCAATGTTGTAATTATGATGTGAATTTTGAACTTGATGAATGATGAGTTGATTTTGATTTGTTTTTCTCTATTTTGTTTTCTTTTGGAGGTGTTGAAATCATAATGGATCCATCTTCTTTGGACAAATGCATTGATGTGGATGATGATAATGAAATTGAAATGTCTGGTACATCTAAAGCTAACCTAAAGACAAAGGAAACTTCTGAGGTTTGGGATTTTTTCAATAAATTGGATGCGGATGGTATATTAAGAGCTGTGTGTAAGGGATGTAAAAAAGAGTATAAGTCTGGGGGTAAAAGATATGGAACTTTTACTTTGAGGCGCCACATGCAAACTTTCAAAATGATAAAATATCATGATGTTGGTCAAATGTTTGTTGATAATGAAGAAAAACTTCAATCTAGAAAGATATGTCCCAAGACTTCACGAGACTTGTTAGCTGCTGCAGTAATTAAGCATGATATACCATTTTTGTTTGTCGAATATGAAGGCATTAGGGCTTGGATGTCTTATATAAACCCTAATGTTCCTCGTGTTTCTAGAAATACTCTTGTTTTCGACATTACAAAAATGTATAAGACGGAGAAAACAAAGCTTAAGCATGTTTTGACTAGTCTTGAAAGTAGAATTTGCTTAACTTCTGACGTGTGGACTGCATGCACTAGTGAAGGGTATATTTGCTTAACTGCGCATTATATTGATGAAAATTGGAAGCTAAATAGTAAAATACTTATGTTTGATGCCATGCCTCCACCCCATTCTGGGGTTGAATTAGCTTCTAAAGTGTTTGAATGCTTGAAGGATTGGGGGATTGAGAAGAAAATATTTTTATTGACACTTGATAATGCGAGTAGCAATGATTCTATGTCCAAATTTTTGAAAGAACAACTTGCTTAGTGTGTGATGGAAAGTTTTTTCATGTTCGGTGTGCCGCTCACATTTTGAATCTAATTGTCCAAGAAGGTGTGAAAGTTATTAGTGATGTATTGGCAAAGATTAGGGAATCAATTAAATATGTGAAAGGCTCCCAAGGTAGGTTTAAAAAGTTTGAAGAATGTGTGAAAGTGGTTGGTGGTATTGAAACGGGTGTGGGTTTGAGACTTGATGTACCGACCTGTTGAACTCGACATATTTGATGTTGGAAAGTGCCATTGAATACAAGAGGGTTTTCTCTTCTCTTCAATTACATGATCGAAATTATGTTTTTTGTCCTTCAAATGAAGAGTGGAATAGGGCAGAGAAAATATGCGAGTTCCTTGAGCTGTTTTATGAGACTACCAGATTGATCTCCGGTTCTTCTTATCCTACTTCAACATGTATTTTATGCAAGTTTGGAAGATACAAGAGGCATTGTTGAGAAATATGGTGAATGATGATGAAACTATAAGAGAGATGTGCATATTGATGAAAGGAAAATTTGACAAGTATTGGGGTGAATATAAAGAGTTACTTGCATTTGGTGCCAATCTTGATCCAAGAATCAAATATTTCATGTTGGAGTATTTTTATTCGAAAGTTGAGTTTGATCATGTCAAATGCGAAAAGGCCATGTCTCTTGTGAAGCAAAATTTGTACAAATTATATGAGAATTATGAGAGTGCCTTGGGCCCACATTCTTCCCACGGGCAAGTTTCTTCGTCTCAAACTATTCCATCTCCATCGCCAAGTAGACCGACTTTGAAAACACATGGAAAAAGAGTTTTTGATGTAAGCATTTTAACAAGTTTCATGTTCATATTATATATATATATATATATATTATGTGTGATAAATAACTAATTATTAAATAATTCTTTTGATTTAATGTAGGACATGTGTTCTTTTGAGAGCAAATCAAAAAGAATTGCCGGGAAATCTCAATTGGACCTCTATTTGGAGGAACCAAAATTTGATTTTGGCTTTTATGACAAATTGGATGTCTTGGGGCATTGGAAAGGTCAAGAGAAGCGATTTCCGGCCCATGAATTGATGGCATGGGATGTGTTGGCCATTCCCATTACTAGTGTTGCTTTGGGGTCCGCATTCTCCATTGGTGCTCACGTGCTCACCAAGTGTAGGAGTCGTATTCTCCTGGAAAAAATTCAAGCTCTCATTTGCACTCGTAATTGGTTGCATGGATTTGTTGTTGGTAAGAAATATATTTTACATTTAAGTTATATTTATTCATGTACTCGGATTAATTTATACTTCAATATGTCCCTTTCTTTAACTTATATTTTTATATTTTTTATATGTAGTTGATGAAAGAAAGAAAGCAAAATCATGTGAAGGCTCAAATGTTTTAACTAGCATTAATGAAGAAGGTGATGAAGGAGAAAATGAGGATTTTGATGATGTGATGATTGATGAATTTTGAGGTTGATGTGATGTCTTTGTCTTTGATCTTTGATGAATTCGCTAATTTGTTTTCTTTTGATGGTTGATGGACTTGTAGGCTTTAAACTTTAATGTTTGTATGACATTGTCTTTTGTTTGTTTGGATTTGATTTGAATGTTTGTATGACATTGTCTTTTGTTTGTTTGGATTTAATTTGAATGAAAGGACTTGGTTTATTCATTTGTATAATGTATTTTTTTTTCAATTGATTTGCAGCTGCTTGTGGTTTTTTTAGTTGATTTGTAGTAGCAGTGGCCTACTTATTCTGTTTATTTGCTGCTTATACTTATTTATTCATTTGAATAGCAATTGTCAATTAGTATGCTGATGGGGTGCTTTTATTATCTTTCTTTTTTGTTTTTTTTTTTAACTTGGCGGGCCAGGCCGCCTAGCCCGCGGCCCGTGGCGGGGGTGGGCCAAGCTGGCCATCTAGAGGCCCGCCAGGATGGCGGGCCGACCCACCCCGCACCGCCAAAATGTGGGTTTTGGCGGGCTGCTGGTTGGCCCGCCCCGCCGGCCCGTTTTGACAAGTCTAGTGGTCGCATGTATCGACCACTCCTTCGAGGATGGGCATGTGTTCGAAGATAAAAATCCACCATGACTAAGGCCTCTGGGCTGGGTGGTCGCATGTATCGACCACTCCTTCGAGGGTGGGCATGTGTTGGAAGACAAAAAATCCACCATGACAAAGGCCTCCGGGCTGGGTGGTCGCATGTATCGACCACTCCTTCGAGGGTGGGCATGTGAAGAAAAAAAATCCACTCTGACTAAGGCCTCCGGGTTGGGTGGTCGCATGTATCGACCACTCCTTCGAGGGTGGGCATGTGTTCGAAGACAAAAAATCCACCATGACTAAGGCCTCCGGGCTGGGTGGTCGCATGTATAGACCACTCTTTCGAGTGTGGGCATGTGTTCGAAGACAAAAAATCCACCATGACCAAGACCTCCGAGCTGGGTGGTCGTATGTATAAACCACTACTTTGAGGGTGAGCATGTGTTCGAAGAAAATAAAATCCACCATGACTAAGGCCTCTGGGCTGGGTGGTCGCATGTATCGACCACTCCTTCGAAGGTGGGCATGTGTTTGAAGACAAAAAGTCCACCATGACTAAGGCCTCAGGGCTGGGTGGTCGCGTGTATCGACCACTCCTTCGAGGGTGGGCATGTGTTCGAAGAACAAAAAAGCCACCATGACTAAGGCCTCCGGGCTGGGTGGTCGATTTTAATGTTGGGTCGTTGAAGATATGGAGCTTATTGGAGACCTCAAAAGGAGGTCGAGGATCTTTACATGGTTTTGATTTTGTAGAATTCATTTGTCGATTTCAAGGGAAGGTAAATTGGTTTCATTACGGATATAGCTCGAGCAGACCTCGGTGGCAAGTCGATGATATTTATTTGATTCAGGTTTTGTTGGATTTGGTTTCTCTGACCTCAGTGACAGGTCGATAGTATTCATTATGGATCGAGCAGGTTGATGATTCCTTATTTCATTCTATTTTGTCGAATTTATTTTTAGACCTCAGTGGTAGGTCGAGATGGTACTCGTTATTGTTCGAGCAGGTTTATGGATTTATTGGATTTGGTTTTGTTGTATCTGTGCTTTTAATACCAGTGGTGGGAGTTTATTGTGGATAGTTTGACCAGATGGAGGGTTTTATGTGGTTTAGTTATGCTATATTTGTGATTTTGATCTCAGTGGCAGGACGATCAAATGCGTTACCTGATATGTTGAGCAGTGGAAGGTCAATCAAACTCGTTATGGATAGTTCGAGCAGTGTGGCAGATAGAGGAGGCTCATTTCGAGCAAACTCAGGGATTCATTACAGATAGATCGAGCAGACCTCGGTGGCAGGTCGGCGATCTTTATTTGATTCAGGTTTTGTTGGATTTGGTTTCTCTGACCTCAGTGACAGGTCGATAGTATTCATGATGGCTCGAGAAGGTTGATGATTCCCTATTTCATTCTATTTTTTCGAATTCATTTTTAGACCTCAGTGGCAGGTCGAGATGGTACTCGTTATTGTTCGAGCAGGTTTATGGATTTATTGGATTTGGTTTTGTTGTATCTGTGCTTTTAATCCCAGTGGCGGAAGTTTATTGTGGATAGTTTGACCAGATGGAGGGTTTTATGTGGTTTAGTTATGCTATATTTGTGATTTTGATCTCAGGGGCAGGACGATCAAATGCGTTACCAGATATGTTGAGCAGTGGAAGGTCAATCAAACTCGTTATGGATAGTTCGAGCAGTGTGGCAGATAGAGGAGGCTCATTTCGGGCAAACTCAGGCATTCATTACAGATAGACGAGCAGACCTCGGTGCTAGGTCGATTGTATTCATTACTGCACGAGCAGGTTGATTGAATTTTATCTTGGTTTTGCCGAATTGATTTTTCGACTTCAAGGGCAAGGAGATGGGATTCATTACGACGCGAGTAAATTGATGGTTTTTGCTTGGTTTGGTCTTGTCAAATTGATTTTTCGACCTCAGTGACAGGTCGAGGGAGTTCATTCAGAGCAGTTCACTAATTCAGGTCGTTTGGGTTTTGAGAGGACATAAATTAGGCTTAAATTTTAAAGTTTGAACTGAGGGGCGATAGGATGAGATAATCGGAAAGGCCCATCATTGAGAGGAGAGTGCTTGAACAAGGTGACTGAAAAAGTAGAAGATTTAAGTTCAAATGTTCAAATTCAAGGCTTTGGGAGATCGTACATATGGTGTTTAACTTCAGTTTTCGGTTTTGACGGACATTCAATTTTTGACCTTAATTGTCGTTTGACTTTTGGCGTTCGACCTCAGAGACGAGTCTCTCGATTCTTGGTTTTCAGTTTTTGACCACGACGATCTCCTGATTCTCGATTTTCAGTTTTCGACCTCAATTGTCATTTGGCTTTTGGCGTTCGACCTCAGAGGCAGGTCTCTCGATTCTCAGTTTTCAGTTTTCGACCTCAACGATCTCTTGATTCTTGACTTTCAGTTTTCGACCTCAACAGTCTCTCAATTCTCGGTTCGACCTCTAAGGCAGGTCTCTCGATGCTCGATTTTCAGTTTTCGACCTCAACGATCTCTTGATTCTCGATTTTCGAATTCGACCTCAACGATCTCTCGATTCTCGGTTTGACCTCAGAGGCAGGTCTCTCGATTCTCGATTCTCGGCTTTTGATCTCAACGGTCTCTCAATGCTCGATTTTCAGTTTTCAACCTCAACGGTCTCTCGATTCTCGGCGTTCGACCTCAGAGGCAGGTCTCTCGATTGTCGGTTCTCGGCTTTTGACCTCAACGGTCTCTCGATACTCGATTTTTGGTTTTCTACCTTAACGGTCTCTAGGTTCTCGGCGTTCGACCTCAGAGGTAGGTCTCTCGATGCTCGATTTTTTGGTTTTTTTACCTTAACGGTCTCTAGGTTCTCGGCGTTGGACCTCAGAGGTAGGTCTCTCGATCCTGGGTTTTCGGTTTCTTACCTCAACGGTCTCCCGATTCTCGACTTTCGACCTCAACGGTCTCTCAATTCTTGATGCTCGACCCTAGTGGTAGGTCACTCGATTTTCTATATTAGTGGTCATTCGGTATTCATTTGGGGTCCCAATGCTCATTTGGAGGATTTATAACTATTTGGTGGTCAAGGATTTATTTAAATGGTAACCTCAATGGCAGGTCGACGGAAACATTCCGAAGAGGAATTTTTACTCTTGGATCGAGTCATGCTTACTCGACCAGAGTGCGGGGGACTAGATGATATAGGATATTATCTCGGACCGGGTTAATGGATAAAGCGAATACATATAGAAGGATAAGCCCACTAAGACATCTAAGCATAACGATATGGGTCAAGCCCAACTTGGGCCCAAAAGGTACACTCCCCCTATAAAAGGGGGCCAAGGTATCTCATTCTCTCCATTCTCTACTCATTTCATGACTACACTTTCTCTCTCTCATGATGGAGCACTGACTGAGGCATCGGAGGCCCGACGTCGGGACCACCCCCGCCGTTGGGTTCTTGCAGGTACGGAGGCCGGTCGAGATGAAGGAGCCCGGGTGAAATCTATTTCACTTCACAGTGATACTGCTTCCACAATTGGTTGAATATTCTTTGATTTCTGTTTGATTAATTTATATGCAACTCTGAATACTTGGTATACAAGTATCAAATTTTAGAAGGTGTGTACCCGAAGAAGAACAAGCAAATGTCCTTGCTTTTTGCCACGAGTTTCAATATGGAGAATACGTTGGAGGTCGAAAGACCGCTGAAGCGCCCCAATAGTTTATAGAATTTCTCGGATTATTCTATTTATCGAATTAAGTTTGTGAAATTATACTTATTATATGGTACTTAATTGTAAATAAAATATTTGTGAAAGACCACTGTAGCGTCCCGTGAATATTTGGTACTTAATTGTATATTTAAGTACTCGATTGTTGTACTGTAGAACGTTAGCCGATCGACGATCCTTTATTCGTTTCGTTTGATTCGTGGGAAATTTATTTATTTCGTATAATTAGCTTGCGGGCCATTTCGATAATTGTTCGGATATGGTATTTGGTCCAAATCATGCTCGCATGTTCAACCCGATTCTAGGGCGTCCCATCCGACCCTTGAGATTTCTTGTAACAGCCCAGTTCACCCCTAGTGTGATATTGTCCGCTTTGGGCACACTCACCCTCACGGTTTTGCCTTTGGGAGCTAGCTCACCAAAACGCGTCACACTAGTGAAGATATCCACAAGCACTTATAAGGCATGCTTCGTTCTCTTTCACAACCGATGTGGGATATCTGGATCCACCCCCATTCGGGGTCCAGCGCATCGCTGGCACACCAGTCCGGGTACTGGCTCTAATACCATTGTAACAGCCCAGTTCACCCGTAGTGTGATATTGTCCACTTTGCGCACTCTCACCCTCACGGTTTTGCCTTTGGAAGTTAGCTCACCAAAACGCGTCACACTAGTGAAGGTATCCACAGCCACTTATAAGGCATGCTTCG